CCGGGCGGCACCGCCTTTTCCTGAGAGGTGGGGGCCCGGAGGCCTTGATCCGGGCTGGCCCGCTGAGGGGCACGGGAAGCGCCACCGGGGTAGCCAGGCTGGGTTAAAAACAATCAGGTTTTTTTTTTTCCCCTTGTGAAGCCCTCTGATTTCTGACAATTTACGATTCGACGTCGATAAAGTATTTGCACACTCGCATCCGATGAATTTATGTCTCGGCGTCGCACGCGGCCAACGAGGGCATGCCCCCCGGTTGAGGGAAGGCCTGGATTTCACCACAGTTATGAAGAGCCGAGCGGCCTGGGCGGATAAGCCGTAGGGGAGCTGCCCCCTGCCACGCACGGCACCTGCCGGCACCAGACGTGGTTGTGTTAGGCAGCCGCTGCCTTCGGTCTCGGTACATCCAGGCACTGCCACTTTGCCTGGGCAGGGTAATTTCCACAACTGAGCCAAGCTGCTGAGAAGCCTTAAAGTACCAAAGGCTGGGAGATTGAACGAGGATGAGGAATTTTGTGCCAAATGCACTCAAAGTAATTCCAAAAAAACCCCTCAGTGTTACACCTGATGAGAAAAGGTGATTTTAGCACTGGCCTGCACTGCTTTCACCCTTGCCACTGTCTCCTTACGGCGACAGGAGCTGTGGTCCAAGGGTAATAACCGCATCCCTAGTTTTGATACGCTTTGGTTTTGAAAGCTGTCAGTCTTCCAGCCCCAAGGACTGATGGCCAAGGCATGTTTTAACTGGAGAAATGAGGGTCCCTCTGTTCAACACGTTTTAAACCAGCAGTCCATATTTACTACATACCTTTGTATATATATTATGTACCAGCGGTTCCAATCTTTAAAGGCAGGTGCGCTGGATCTTTTCATAAAAGATGCATTTTGAGGAGTGTGTTGTTGAATCTTTACTAATGAGATTTTTCCTTCTCAAAAGGAGAACAAAATATTTCTCGGTATTGTAAAGTGTGACAAATTGAACCTGGCACATGTAACTGGTTCACTAGCTGCCTTTCTGCCAGCCTCTCCATATGGCCTCTTTGACAGACATTTGCAAATTGTCTCTTTGTCGCAGTGTGTCTATATATGAGTCGAAGTTTTATGCGTTTTCCATTTTCAGCAAGGTATGGGTAGAATACACTACTTCTGGAAAATCTCTTTTGAAGTATAATTTACTGTATATTTTATCTGTAGTAAAATAACAACCACAGTTAACTCTCCATTTATCACATGTATCACTATAAGGACCATAAAGCGTGTGATGTGGAGCATCAGGATACTTGTCATATGAAATGCATATTCACGTGAAGTTGCATTTTTATAACTTAATTTATGGTTTTAATTTGACCCTGGATCATACATATATACATACAAAGAGAGAACACACTAGCTTGCTTGCAGAAATAGGAACGATCCACGAGCCATCTTGTGAAAGACTGAGAGTTTTGAAGTCAGAGGAGATCAAGCTAGGCAAACTCCCCCGGTTGCTGAAAGGGTGGGAAGCAGCACATTCAGTTATCCTCTCGCCTTCATGGCACTGCCATCCAGCACTCACTCAACCCCTCCTCAGCAGCTTTCTTCATTTCACCTCTTGGGTCTCTCTCTCCATTTCACCTCTTCTTCATTTCACTCTCTCTCCACTTCTGCCCAGCCTCCCACACTCATCCCCAGTGGCATCATTTCCCAGCTGATTACCCAGCTGCATTTACCCTTGCACATTCTTTATCCTCATCTTCTCATTTGACTGAAGCCTTCGTTGACCGAAGAAATGGTTCACAGATCTAGGCTTTCACCAAGTCCTACTGCCTTTCTGATTTTTTGGTTACTGCATCTTTTTCTGACTATCATCTCTTCCCCCCCCCCAAATTTTTCAGCCTTCCCAGAGTATTCTTCACCATGCTTTACTATTTGCTTTTGGCCTTCCCTCTCTGCTTTCTCTTTTCTTTCTTTCGTGCCTCTGATTGCTGATACTCTTTGTGTTTCTTTTTTCTTTGCCCTTGATGCTTCATTTTCTCTCATAACTAAACCCCAGATGTGATTTAATCTCAACATTGGCCTTCTTTGGCTCTACTTTTGCATTGTTGAGTGCTTCTGGAGGAAAGCTGGGAACCTGGCTCATTTCTGTGACAATCCCATTTTCCCCCCAAACAACAGGAACCTATGCATAAAGCTGCTGTCCTCACTCTCTGCACAGAATTCAAACCATTTCCTTTGGGAAACATTTTCTCACCTCATCTTTTCCATCTCCTTTGCTTGCCTTCCCCTTCTGCTAGTGCCCTGACATTCTACCTCTTCCAGATATTTCTGCTCTCCTCTCCTGTGCTAAATGAATGTGTTCCCCTTCACATCACACTATCCCCCTTTTGCACATGTTCATTTTTCCTTCTTTCTCTCTAACCTTTTAATCTAGTTGTTGCTCTTGCAGTGCAATAATTCTCTTATCTCTCCTGTGCGGAGGAGGAAGGACCCACTTCTCAGTCCAGTTTGTTTCAGATTATTGCCCCATATTCTTTCTCCCCTTCACATACAGACTCCACGAACACGGTGTTCACAACCCATGTCTGGGGCTCCTCTGTTACACGGTCTGCAGTCTGCCTGCAGAGCTCTGTGCTCAGTTGTCACCACTGTCATTGAAGTGCCTAAAGAATTCCTCCTACCTAAATCAAATCCGCTTAATCTGTCAACCTCTTTCAACAATACTCTTCTTGACATCCTGTCTTTGCTTGGTCCAGTGACTTCTACATGCTTCTCTAACCATTCTTTGAGCCTGTTTGTCAGCAGATCCACTACAGGTTCTCCATCCTTGGTTTTTGAGGGGTGCCACAGCAACTTCACCCTTTCCCCCTTTTTTCTCTATGCCTTATCACTGGATAATCTTATTCCAATAAAACTACTATCTCTCAGTGCTTAATTCAGATTCGCCTTCTGTCCGAATAAAGCCCCCCTTGCTGTCTAGCCAAATGGTGAGTTTAATCTCAATCCCAGTTTCTACTGGCTGCTCCCTTGTGTGCTGGACACCCTTTACTCTGCCCGTCCCTCAGCTGGGATATGCACCTTTGATTCTGATCTCCCTCCAGTCCCTCCCACGGTGGCCGCCTTGAAAATCTACGCAGGGCCCAGACCCTTCTGCATAACCTCTGCGTACGACTATCCACACCCCTGCGCACAGGCAAACCTGTTAGCTTGCTCCCCACATGCACAAATCCAGCACAGCATCTCCAGGTCTTTCAGCAAGACCCCACCAAATTCAGATGCGAAGGTAACCCCACCACGTCTCCCTTCCTTTGCACCCCCTTCCCTTCTTTGCCTCGAGTTTCTAAGGTGCCCCGCAGCCAGACCTGCCGCCACCTGTTGCCTCTCAGCGGGCCCAGCTACGCTCCCGCCCAGCCGGCAGCCGCGGGCCGCACCGCTTCCACGCCGCCCCTCCCACGCGC